AACTGAAGATGGTTTGAAGTTTCGTATGACTAAGGCTTTAGAAAAACCTTGGTACATGCCCTTTTTGTAGAAAATCACAAAACCAGTGTTAACATCAGCTTTGTGACCTATTTCAATTATGTGTTTGGTAGTAAAGCATGATGTATGCTTATTATCTATTCTTAATGGGTCATTTAACTCTGGAAGAGGTGGAAACATTCACGTACCTAGGAAGCACCGTTGATAAACAAGGAGGAACGGATTCAAATGTAAAAGCGAGGATTGACAAATCAAAGGCAGCATTTCTACAATTGAAGAACATATGGAACTCAAAACAACTGTCAATTAATTTCAAAGTGAGGATATTCAATACGAGCGTCAAGACAGTCAGTTCTACTGTATGGAGCTGAAACGTGGAGAACTACTACATCCATTGTCAAGAAGGTACAAGTATTTATAAACAGTTATTTACGCAAAATACTCAACATTCATTGGCCGGATACTACCAGCAACAGCCGTTTGTGGGAGAGGACAAATCAGCTTCCGTCTGAAGAGGAAATTAGGAAGAGTCGTTAAAGGTGGATCGGACATACATAAAGGAAATCACCAAACTGCATCATGAGGAAATTGCTAACATGGAATCCAGAAGGGAAGCGGAAAAAAGGAAGGCCAAAAAACACATTACGTGGTTAATAGAAACAGATATGAAAAAGATGAATTATAGCTGGAAATAACTGGAAAGAATTGGCTGGGACAGAGTTGGATGGTGAATGCTGGTGTGCGGCCTATGCTTCTCCACGATGGTGACAGGTGTAAGTAAATAAGTAATGGGTCATTTGATTTTAACAAGTGTATAATGTGCGATCAGATTGTTTGAAATGTATTGGTTAAATATATCACATAATTCTGATAATCTTTGTCTGCTTATTACACTATCCATGTTCATTGAATTTGTTTAGTAATTAGTCATGATAGACTAGGGGTGATTTCAAATGTATCGTTAATAATTCTATTCTCATTAAGGTTCGGTGTCATTTATCTAGATTATTCTGTCTAATACAATAACTGGAACGTTTACATTAGAAAAACTCCATTTATATACTACAAGAATATTTCAGAAAAAAATATGCCAGGTACTTAATATATAGTTCGGCAACATGAAATGTCTCGAAAGTTCAGCTTCTGATATACAGTCATGTCTCTCATGCTAATTGAATTAAAATAATAAGTAGTATGTGTTATTATATAAATCTTTTCTCAAGTTACTAATTTACATAACTATAATACAAGTTTAAAACATTCGGACAGATATAAGCCATTTGTATAAATTTGAATCTATCTGTTATTAGTGTTAATAATTGAAAGTGATCAATCTCTTTCATTCCATGTAAATACGAAGAAGAATAAATTCATATTATCATTGTACTGCAAACATTTTTAATAGCCAGTAGTACAATCCATGATAATACCTATATCCTATTGATAATATTCACTTTAAGACTTTAACTAACTGCCTTTCATATGAAACTCCTTCAAATTGTCTACATCATCTACTGAGTTCAAATTGTAGTTAGCTTGTAAAAAAAATTGAATTCCATTACAAACTACTATCCAAAATAGGTTTATTTAAGAAAGAAAAAAAGAAATTCTCTCAGTACTTTATTACTAAAGAATGTTCTTGATTAACATATAAGCAATGATAGTTTCTATTCATTTAGTTTTTCCTTTTTAACACAGATGTATATACACTTAGTACATATATATATATATATTGGTTTATTTAATATTATATTAATCACAGTAGGATATATCCCTCCCAAGATCTTATTATCTTTATCTAAGGAATCATGCAGTGATGAAACTTTCAATATGTATACTAAATAATAATTAATCAAATATAGAAGATGAATATTTTGCCAATAAAAACATTAAAAAAAGAGAAACTAATGATTAGATGCCAGTTAAGTGAATGACATTTTGTGAATGAATTTACTTTTCCATAGAATAATTAATAGAATTTCTTTTTGGTGTAAAATATTTTCTAATTTTTTTTTTTGGTTAGAAGAGGGTTTTTGTGGATATTTTAGTAATTTCATAGTTGAAATCATGAGTTGATTAAAGTTAAACAACTATGGAAAACCTGAAAGCACTGGAAAACCGTTTCGTTTTATTGTGGGACTCCTCAGTAATGCGTATCCACGATCCCGTCTCGTGAGATTCGGACTGAGAACCTACCAGTCTCGCGCCAGAGCACTTAACCGATTTTTTTCTAATGAATATTTCGTTTATTATGATTATTATTTTGTATTTTTTTCTTTTTTCTTCTTTCTACTACTTTTGTTGAATAACATAAACTTTTTTGAATTCCACTGCTAGTCACTATAATGCTTGTGAATTAAGGCTATATTGAGGCAATACGCTCAGTATGCATACATAGCTAATAAGAGACTGACCAGTTGCAGTCGTAAGCATCAATGGGAAGATTCAAACAAACAATACTAAGTGAATTCAAATTATATGTTAGATTGTATATCAAAAAAACTATCATCATTGTGTAATTTAAGTTTAATCAAAGATTTTGATGGAATGAAATATACTGAGATATTTGAAAGTTATAGATTTAGGTCGTTTGTGGATTCATGAACTGTTACTTCATCAGCAGTTCAAAGAATGTTGAATTACATATTCAGTATTACCTTATTTTTTTAGTACCTTTGAATCTATACGTGTTTAGTTCTTGGTTTCACATTTTAAAATTTTATAAACGTTAAATCTTTACCTTATATAAGTATTGAGATTTCTATTATTATTAATAATAACACAATACATGTTGTCATAATGGTAATTACTAGAATCAGTTTATAAGTTATGTTGATTTATGCATTTATAAATCTAAGTATCTTAAGCAGAACGACTATCTGCTATTTTTTCAACTATTCATATAATATTAATGTTACTATAAAAATACACATAAATTTTATAGCTGAAATCATTAGTCAATTGAAGTTAGACCATCACGGAAATCCTGGAAGCACTGCACGAGGAAAAGTACCCACACATGAGACTAATAGGTCCCGGGTTTGAATCTCGCGAGGCGGGATCGTGGATGCACACTGTTGAGGATTCTCACAATAGGACGAAACGGTCGTCTAGTACCTTCCGGTTTTCCATGATTGCCTAACTTTAATTGACTCAAAATTTCAACCATAAAATTACTGAAATCTCCACAAGTACCCCTTCTAATCGACATAAGTACACTATTTCAAAAGCTAAAGTTGTAATATTCGTATAATAAAGCTTTTCTATATTATTTCGAAAGAAATTTTTAATAAATAATTCATATGAATGTATCTAGTCTACAGTGTGAAAGTTATGAAACTTGATCACTACTATTGCGTAATTATATCTTATGCAAAAATACTTATGATTTTCTATTCCACTCAGTCTATTCATTAATATTGGGTAGCTAAATTCTCATATAAGTGAACATATCGTAATACAGTTTCATGCATTATTTGATGTGATCTTTTTTTGAAAAAAATTTTTGCTCCGGAGAATTAGTATCCATTGAAGATGGCACAGAATAAATAATCAATAATCAATACCTTGGATGGAATTCTATTTCGTCGTTAATTTAATTAACAATTTTACATAGCCATATCTGTATTCATGTGTTGAGTGAATTAATTCAGTTGATATATACTTTCAGTGATGTACAAATGTTTAGACCAATATATGTAGTAAGCAATCACTAAAAAAACGTTTTGTTATGTTTATGAAACAGAATTAAAAGTAAACTTCATTGGTTCATAAAGGTATCTTTTGTATAGTCGTCATGGTTACGACTAATCACCTGAATTTACCTGCAGCCAAAAATTCTTGATCACATGGCTAGCAGTGGAATCCAGAACTCACATTTCATTTTATTTCAGACTCTTCAACTGGATATACCTCCATCTCAGAGTTGATGTTCACTCTGAGACTCGAATTCTAATAATAGCATAATCAGTCACAGTCCTAAACATCAATGTAAGAATTGAAACAAACAATACAAAAATGGAAATAGAACTTCAGTTTATTGCACAAGCTATTGACTATTATTATTCAGTAACTGAGTGAATCACGTAATGATGTTTAAAGAGAATGTTTCTGTGTTTTAGTGTGGTAGTGATTATGAACTATGGGTTGCAGATAAATCTCACTGAGTAGTCTTAACCATGACGAAACATGAATCCTTGATTCCACTGCTAGCCACCATCTATCTTCGCGAATATAGATATTTTTATAAAAAATCTCAAGAGTACTCTTATATAAAGTTGGAGTATGGATGACATCTTCATTAACATATATCTCACTTTAATGAGCATTAAATGAAAGATTGTAATCACTTCCATTGCTTCTAAGTCTTTACTTGTTATTGCTGAATAAAACTACCTTTAGTCTTCTTTTTTTTCTATTATTCATACAAATATATTATTATTATTATTAGCAAAGACGGATAGTGGCTAATAGTGAAATCTAGGATTCTCATTTCGTCCTATTCGGGACTCGTCAGCTGGATGTACCTGCATCTCAGAGTTAATGTTCACTCTAGGTCTCGAACCCAGTACCTTTCGCTTCAAACACCATCGCGTTATCTATTCATCTACTGAGTCCTGGTAGCCACCTGCTTGTACAATGGGGTGAACTTTAAATTCCCATAGTATTGTTTGTTTGAATCTTCCCATTGACTTTTTAGGACTGCAATTGATCAGTCTCTTGTTGGCATATGTGCATACTGTGTACATTGCCTCGATATAGTCTAAATTCACAAGTATTATAAGCAAAAATGAATAGTGGCTAGCAATGGAATCGAAGACGTGCGTTTCCTACGATTTGGGACCCGTTAGCTTGATGTACCTACATCTCAGAGTTGATGTTCACTCTGGGATTCGAACCCAGTACCTTTCACTTCAAATGTCATCTTGTTATTATTTAATAAGTCATTGTATCATATTTTTTTTAATCTTTTTTCTTTTTAGATTAAAGATACATCATTATAAATATCCATTAAAAAAATTGAATATTCACAAATGTATACTACTATCAATTCAATGATTGATTGATTGTTATATATGTATGGTGACAAATGAAGTTATATTTCTGGAATTTTACCCATTTATTATATTTAATTAATTATTTATTAAATATAATAATTATTATGATTAATATTATTATTATTACATCAAATAATTATACACATTCACTTATCCATAATAATAATCATAATAATAGAAATACTCAAACTATGTTTCTAAGTGAATTAAAAAAATTAAATGTTCATTTATTTGAAGAAGAATCTATTGGTAGAGAAGTAGCTAATTTACAATTTTTAATGAATCATACTAATTATTCTAATGAAAATTATTTCATTAATACATATACTACTCATACTACTATTACTACTACTACTCATAATAACAATAATAATAATAATGAAGAAGAAGAAGAAGAAGAAGAACACGAAGGAAAAATAATAAAATCCAATTATTATCAAATATTTAATAGTGAACCACAATCAAAATATTTTCATTTAGATGCTAAAACTGGGATCATACGTGTTGCTAGGCGTATTGATCGGGATCAATTATGTCCATTATTTAAATCATGTTGTACATATTTCAATAATATAAATTATTTTAATAAAAATATTAATTTATTAAATAATTTTAATAATAATAATAATGAACAATTAGTTAATTGTCAATTAGATTTAAATATAAGATCAGATGATCAATATACTAATATTATTACTGTTAGTGTACATATTATTGATATAAATGATAATTCACCAATATGGTTATTAAATAGTAAAACAGGATTTTTAAATTTTCCTGATGATAATCAAAAACAGGTAAGTAAATTTTTGTTTTGTTTTTTTCAGAAGGAGGTTCTGTGGAGATTTTAGTGATTTTTTTAAATATATATAGTTGAAATCATGAGTCAATTGAAGCTAGATCGCCATTGAAAACCTGGAAGTACTGGACGGCCGTTTCGTCCTATTGTGGGACATTAACACTGTTGGATGCCGGCCAGCTTAGTGGTCTAGTGATTAAGCGCTCGTGCGAAAGACTGATAGGTCCTGGGTTCGAATCTTGAGAGGTGGGATCGTGGATGCGTACTGCTGAGGAGTCCATAAAATAAAATAAAATAAATATGAATACTGACTTTTATTCATTCATAATGATGTTGAGTTCTATTTGTTTTTTTATTAAAATGGTTACTTTGTAATAAACGAAGGCCCATATAGTGATAAACAATTCATTATTTAATATAAAATAACATAATACTTTAGTAAAATATGAAAACTATACATTAAATACTTCATTTACAAATCTTACATCGACTGTTCTTTGTATTCCGTATGATTCTTCCAAGTTATAATTCCTTTTATACTTCTGTTTTTTGTTTTCATTAACTCAGTATTCTTAATTTTCTGCTGTCAGGTTTTTCACTTCTGATTGGTGTTACATACTATTTAGGTCTATCGACATAAGTGGCATACACCACAACTTTAGTTAATGACTCAAATGAAAGTAGCTTAGTCTAGAGTAGACATAGAGTATATTCACAAAGAAATAAGCTATTTATAAATACATATATCAACTTAATACAAATCGGTTGTGCAAAAATGTCACATCTCTTGGATACAATTTTTATTGAATCTAAAGAGATGAGTTATTACCAAGGGATTAAAGCCATTTTAAAAAAGACTTTATAGAATGAATCCTTTTCTTTTATAACCTGACAAATGTGCACAATTATATTCCTATCCAATAAGTTATAGAAAAATCTAGCTAGTGGGTTCTGTTAACTTCAAAAATCCAGACTTCGTATTTGAAAGAAGTTTGCTCTAGTCCAGTTTAACCATACTATTGTTTCTTTTTCTCCATGAATATTTCGCTTAATATGAAAGAAAAAGTCTTCTTTCAACATCTCAACTACGATAAACTAAAAGAACTTATAACCAATAGATTCCTTTTCATAGACATTATTTAACACAAATAGATATTATAATTGTCCATTTCTTTAATCTATAGACTTTTTCAGTCACTTTATATCATTATTATTAGCTTTATTCAATATTATATTTTTAGCAAAATATAGAATTGTCATAACAAAGTATTTCAACAAGCTTCCGTTCCCTACTTCGTCGATCCTTATGACAAATATCGGGTGATCGCCAATTAGATGTTAGCAGTCTAGTCAATCGAAACCTAAACAATGTACATTCTTTTCTCTGCATATTGACTGCCAGCAACCATGGTATCTATGATTGAGCCTTTAGTAAATTGTACAACGAAAAGTTGTACAGTTTACACAAACGCACCTGAATTGGTTATGCAATTAATTGACATAATCTTCTGTTAAAACAAATAAGGAAACGGATAAGTTTTTAAAATATCTAGATAGCAGGACTAGGTAGCCCAGATGTTCAAGCAGGCGGTCATTGATGCAAATATAATTATGATTGCTTTCTGATGTAAAACTTTATTTATTATAATTCATATTACTTATACAGTTTATATAATAAATAACTATGACCTCTGGTATCGTTTAAACCTTTCTGTGTGCTATGTCTATTCTCAGAAATTTGATTTATATATTTCTGTTATTGGAATACAATGTTAAAATTAATTTTGTATTAGAATGTAGTTAGGTGAAAAAATATTTTACAAGTAAGTGAATATAAAATTCTTATCAAAATTTCAGTAGTTTTCTATTGTTAATACAATGAGATAAAAAATACTTACTTACGCCTGTATTCCCTCGTGGAGGAGCATAGGCCGCACACTAGCATTCTCCATCCAACCTTGTCCTGAGCAATCTTTTCCAGTTCTTTGCAGTTAACATTCATCCTTTTCATATCTACTTCTATTTCCCGAAGTAATGTGTTGTTTGGCCTTCCTCTTTTCCGCTTCCCTTCACGATCCCAAGTTAGGGATTGCCTCATGATGCAGTTCAGTGATTTCCTTAACTTATGTTCAATCCTAATTTCCGCTTTAGCTGTAAGCTGGTTTGTCCTCTCCCATAAAACGCTGTTGCTGATGGTATTTGGCCAATGTATGTTGAGTATCATGCGTAGAAAACTGTTAATAAATATTTGTACCTTCTTGACGATGGATGTAGTAGTTCTCCACGTTTCAGCTCCATACAGTAGAACTGACTGTCTTGACGTTTGTAGTGAATATCCTCACTTTGAAATTAATTGACAGTTGTTTTGAGTTCTATATGTTCTTCAATTGTAGAAATGTTGCACTTGATTTGCTAAATGTTTATCTAATAGACTAACGCTAATTTCAATATTTATCCTAAAGTTGATAAAAGTGACAACATTGAGACTTTTTCTAAAAAAAATGACATGCCTTTACTGCTAATGATCTATGCAAAACAATTAGGCGTATCTATGTTTATAACTGTATAATTACGGCAAGAATGTCAACAGTATATGTTCAATGGTTTTTATGAAACGTTCATAAATTTTTGTTATGATAAATACATTAAAATCTTCAATGGAAACACTTAAGTTATTTACATATAATCTCCCTTGTCTATTCTTCAAAAGAAAAGAAAAATGATTATATTGAAAGCGATAGATTAACTATAATGAAGGATTAAAAACAATTTAGTTGATACAAATGAACTGATGAAAAGCGTTCATGTCGAAGAATAAGTCGCAAATATTTGTAAAATTGACTTTTGAGAGATTATTATTTGAATGAATTCCATCTGTAGCTCTTCTAGGGCTACTTCTGGTAACAAGCTCATACAAAAGATTGGCTGTGAGGTCGATAACCTCATCCCTTAGAAAATAATCTTTCTAAGATAAAACGCTAACTATAACAAACAATTTAAACCATTTAAACTCTGTCCTCCGTGTTCAAGAAAAATTTTTTTAAGGCCTCGGGATGAAAGCCTAGATTCTTTGGAAGTCACGAGACAATGGTAGATATGAGAAGCAGGAAACGAACTGACATTGATTCAGTTCACCATCTACCTGGTTGTTGCGAAGATGAAACTGAAGCTAAAGAAACACCAGTCAACTGAGGAAACGGCATTACAAATATTCGATACAACCTTCCTTCGAGATACTAACAAACTCAACGAATTCTCTCAACAACAGGCTACAAGCTCTACAGGATCTACTGGAAGAAGATACTACCATGCAGGACAACTTAGAGGGGATGAAAGAAGCATTAACTTCAACGTGTCAGGAGGTTCTGGGTCCTAAGAAGCATCATCGTAAGGAATGAATCTCTACGGGAACCCTGAACAAGATTGAATACAGGAAGAACAAGAGGACAGTAATTGACAACTATCAAACACGAGCAGAGAACGTCAAGGTACAAGCTGAATATATAGAAGTAAACGAGCAAGTGAAGATGAGCATTACAGCTGACAAGAAAATATATGTGGAACACCTAGCAAGGACAGCATAAAAAGCTGCAAGAGTAGGAAATTTGAAACATCTATATTACACAACAAAGTAACTGGTGTGGAAATATAGTAAACCAAGGAGGCCGATCACGAACAGAAAAGGCACGATAATCACTGACATTCAAGAAAAGAGAAGAGTGGATAGAACACTATGAGGAATCATCAATACCGGGACACATTTTCAACAGAATATTGCTGAAGTGGATGAAACACTCCGTAGATGTCCAACTTTCAGGTCAACAGACTGTGTTACATAAGGATTATTCATCAACAGACCGAATTGTGACAAGATGTATCATCGATGAACAGTCATATGAATGGAACTGGTCACAATACATCAACTTTGTTGACTATGAGATGGCGTTTGACAATGTAGATAGGAGAACATTATGGAAACTTCTTCGGTACTATGGAGTTCCTGAGAAAATTTTCAACATTATTCGGAACTCATATAACAGACTACAGTGAAAGTCGCTCATGTAGGACGACTGACAGATGCCTTTCCAGTAGGGACCGGAGCCAAACAAGGCTGTCTACTCTTCCCCTTATTCTTTTTTCTGGTGACTGACTGGATTATGAAGACGTCGACATCTGACAGGAAGCACGGAATACAATGGACATCTCGCAAAAAATTAGACGATCTGAACTTCACAGGTGACCTAGTCCTCCTATCCTATACACACGAACAAATATAGATGAAGACAACTAGTGTAGCAGCAAACTCAAAATACAAAAAGGAAAAAGCATCATCCTCAAATACAACACGGAGAACACCAACTCAATCACACTTGACGGAAAAGCTCTGGAATAAGTGGAATCTTTCACGTACTTTTGAAGCATCAACGATAAACAAAGAGGATCTGATGCAGATGTAAAGGCGAGGATTGGCGAAGCAAGGGCAGCATTTCTACAATTGAAGAACATATGGAACTCAAAACAACTGTCAATTAATTTCAAAGTAAGGATATTCAATACGAACGTCAAAACAGTCAGTCCTACTGTACGGAGCTGAAACGTGGAGAACCACTACATCCATCGTCAAGAAGGTACAAGTATTTATAAACAGTTTTCTACGCAAAATACTCAACATCCATTGATCGCATACCATCAGCACACAGCCTTCTGTGGAGAGGACATACCAGCTTCCAGCAGAAGAGGAAATTAGGAAAATACGTTGGAAGTGGATAGGACATACATTGAGGAAATCACCAATGTTTATTACAAGGCAAGTCCTAACTTGGAATGGCGAAGGGAAGTGGAAAAGAGGAAGGCCAAAGAACACATTACAGAAGCAGACATGAAAAGGATGAACAGCAACTGGAATGGATTGCCCAGGACAGGGTTGGATGGAGAATGTTGATGGGTGGCTTATGCTTCTCTATGAGGGGTAACAGGCGTACGTATGTAAGTAACTATTTGAATGACTGCTGAAAAAAGAATTCATCGCAAGATAAGAATCTTGCGGTCAATAATGTAATTTACAGTACTGAATAAAACAGTGATTATCGTTTTTTAGCGTACAAATAAGTGGGACATCTGTTAATAAGTGTTGTAAAATTTGATCAAATGAAATAGTGGATTAAATTGTATTAGAAATTTGTCAAGAGCAGTGATGTTTCTTTCAAGGTGAGGATCTGTTAAACAACAGTTTTCTAAGTTCAGAAAAATAACCGATGAACATTGATTATGTGTTTATCTTCCTCTCTTAATTTGAAGAGGCACATCTTTCTATCATTTAAAAAGGTATCGACTCAGTTTTTAAAGTTGGTGAATAACATCCACTGACTTGTAGAACATGTACATACCACTAAAAGGGTGAAGTTATATTGAGATAAATTATTAAGTGTAATTAGAATATTTACATAGTTGAAATCATGCGTCAATCGAAGCTAGACCACCATGGAAAACCTGGAAGTACTGGACGGTCGTTTCGTCCTATTATGAGACTCCTCAGCGATGCGCATCCACGATCCCGCCTTGCTAGATTCGAACCCAGGACCTACAAGTCTCGCGCCAGAGCACTTAACCCATAGACCACTGAGCCGGCATCCAATGGTGTTAATGTCTAACTTCAACCAATCCACGATGTTTGAGCAACCGTTCACCAATTGTCTTCAGTGAGTTGATATCTCTACAACAGACTTGGTTGAACTCCACTGGTCACTGTAATTAGAATATTCCTATTGTTATATCACTGTGATAAACTTAAAATAGCTGTCGAATTTCAATCTTAATATATATCTTACTTAAATAGCGTTATAATTTTATTTAAACTGTTTGTATATTTAGTCTGACTAGAGTCAGGTCTAAAAACTATGATGTTATGCTGATGAAAATGAAATAGCTTGACATTAATTGGAAATCATTTAATTTTTATATTTCAAGGATGTGATGCATGTTTACGTATCAGAAAGTAGTCTTGTCGGAGATTCCATACAACTAACACCTGCTGTAGATCAAGATGCTGGGTCAAATAACATTATGAAATATATGATTGAACCTCAATTTCCTGAATTTCAGCTAGAATGGACATCACTTGACAGAGATGCTACAATGACAAACATTCAAGTGTCTGGTGATATACATTCAAGTGATATTCAATCATATTCTAATCATTTCATCAGATCACCACCTGGTCCAAGACATGAACTTCGTTTAATTGTTCGAAGTCCATTAGACAGAGAAACAAAATCGTTGTATGAATTTAATCTAACTGCTATAGACGGTGGATCACCAAGTAGAAATTCAACAATCAAATTGCAAGTTCATGTCACAGACTTTAATGATAATTCCCCGATTTTTGAAAAAGATACATATATTGTGGATTTACACGAAAATGCTCGACCGCATACACCAGTTATACAAGTAATTAATTTTCATATACCTATAACATTATTATTTTGAAGACTAGTAATATTTGGATTCTTCTTAGAGTACTACATTATCCTGTGGATTAGTTGTGATAACGATTTCACATGGTTTACCTAGTTATACACGAATTTCAAAAATGTTTGAATTCCTAAAAGTTTATGGTTTTGTGATGTGCAAATATTTATGTCTGAATTTTGATCAGTCTCTCCCGGCATACATACATCAATATGATCTTTCTTAGTATGTTTAGATTGTGTCAAACAATAGGATCCAGGAAACAAGTTTTGTTCTATTCTGGGCATATCATCCTGAGATCCATAAATCCTAGTGTTGATGTGTGCACTAAAGCTCTACCGCTATACAAATTAAAGTTTCGTTAAATCAAAGTACATGAATTTATTAACTTTGTTTACTTATGTCTGTTACCCCTCGTCGAGGAGCATAGGCCGCTCACCAGCATTCTCCATCCAATTCTGTCCTGAGCTATCCTTTCCAGTTTTTTCCAGTTGTTATTCATCTATTTTATATTTGCTTCTATTTCCCGGCGTAATGTGTTCTTACACAAAATTTACTGTGATTGAATTATATTATCCTCATCAATATCATAACTGACGGAGCTTGAAGATAATTAACTAATAATAGATTTGGCAAATTATACAGCAGATATATACACATATATACTTATTAGCTCTTATGTATGTGGTGTATATTTATTAACGTTCTTTCCTGTAGTCATATTTTCTGGATAATATTCTTTTTTCATTCTCTGAAAATAATACACAATCCAAATTATCACATACATGACATTAAATAGGAATAATATATTTGTAAAATCTCAGCGAATGAATTTGTAGTAAATCCAACGTTTCGCCTGGCAATCTGGTCCAAGCTTTTTCAAGGAAGCAACCATGATATTTCTGATTAGGCATTTTGTAAGTTGTACAACGAAAGGTTGTACACTTTTCATAAACGCACCTCAATAAGTTGTGCGAATAATAGTCATTATGATGTATTAAAACAAACAAAATTAGATGAGTTGTTGAATTATCTAGATAGTAGGAACAAGTAACCCAGACGTTTAAAATGACCGCCGAGAGGATTATGAAAAAATAGACTAATTCAATAAAAAACTTTATTATTAGTTTTCTAAACATAGAACATTTCTTCCAAGCCAATATCAATATCATAAATACATTCCTCTGAAGAGTTTTGAAAAAAAAAGTCTATTAAATAGCATTTAAACATTTAAGTTGTAGTATGGAATGTATCAATCTAAGTCATCAAAGAATTACTGTGAATCTACAATCAATCGTCAAATGGCATTTTTTTTAATAATGTAAATCGATCTATGGATAAAATTAAATGAACTGGGATACTGTGACACTCGTTGTATGTTTAACCTCATTCATTTGGTATTACTTATTTCAAACTTCCCATATGTTGTTTAGGACTACAATTGATCAGTCTGTTATTGTCATATGTGCATTCGATATATCCTTAATTCACAAGCATTATAAGCACAGATGAATAATGGCTAGCAGTGAAATCCAGGATGCTCGTTTCGTTCTATTTGGGACTCGTCAGCTGGATGTACATGATGAACGAAACGAGCATCCTGGATTTCACTGCTAGACACTATCTATCTTTGTTTAACCTAATTATTCATAAATAATTCATTCAACTTAGGCAATTCCTTGATCTCAACTAAACCACCTTATTATTATAGAATTAAATACTTTATAATTAATCAGTCGATTTTGCCTTTGTAGTCATTAAATATTCCCTTACATATTATCTTACAAATGATTATTAGACAACAGTTTGTACTCTCTATATAATAAAGAGATTTATAGCCACTTAAAATCCTGTGATCTTAATCATGAATAAAAATTCATATACTTTAATGTAATAACTAATATGTTTATTTTCATACAATGTGTTTTCATATATGAATATATTCCTCAATCAAGTAGTAACCAGCTGATATAGCCTTCATCTAAGTTACATATTCACCATTACATTTGAAGTACATTAGACGTCTAAACTAAACTGAAAATAGTACAGTCAATGATTATGAACTGTATACAACCATTAGTTGATTCATATAACCTCAACTTATCACTGATAATGATTTATTTCACTGAAAAAACCATTGTGTTAATGTGAATAGTAATAATAATAAAAAGAAGAATTAACTTTATTGCATTATGATATTCGTTTATGAATTTAAATCCTAATAGGCGCCATTTTTATTTGTTATTTTACTATTTGATTCATTAAAAGACAATTCATTTTTTATAGGTAAACTATTATTGGGAAAAATATAATACACACAACGTTAAATAATTAAAAACGAAATGATTTAAATGAATTTAAACATCCATCATACTCTATTGCCAAAAATATATAATCGAAACAGACCATAAGATTGATCATAAATCGGCTTTTGTGGTGTTTTTTAAAAGTGCGAAAGGGTGTATACTAAGTTCACTTAGTGTTATTTGTTTGAATCTTCTCATTGATGTTTAGGACTGCAACTGGTCAGTCTCTTATTGGCACATGTGCATACTGTACGTATTGCCTCGATATAGCCTTATTTCATAAGCATTATAAGCAACGATGTATAGTGGCTAGCAGTGTAAAACAGCAATCACATTTCATCCTATTCGAAACTCGTCAGCTAGATGTACCTGCATCTCAGAGTTGATGTTCAAACTGGAACTCGAACCCAGTACCTTTCACTTCAAACGCCATCACGTTATCCACTTAGCAACTGAGTCCTGATACTAAGGTTTATTGAAGCCTTTGTCATACGAAAATCCATCTCCTTTTCGTGTATTCAAAAATGGTTTGTTCTCACCTTAAACCTACCCTAGTAATTATTAGCTTATTATCCAGAGAGATTAGGTTCCAAATTGTTTTCACATTATAAATCATTTATTATTATTATAGTTGTCTCCTCTTACCCTTCGTTTCTAGTCTAGTTGACCTTTTTTATTTATATATATAAATGTGTGATTCGATTGTTCGAAATAAATTGCGCTAATATATCACATAGTTCTGATAATCTTCGTCTTCTTATTACACTATTGAAACTTAAAAACAGAAAATTATTTTATAGTCAAATTCGTGAGTCAATTGAAGCTAGACCATCGTGGAAAACTTGGAAGCACTGGACGTCCGTTTCGTCCTATTTTGGGACTCCTCACCAATGAGCGTCCGTGATCCCACCCCACGAGGTTCTAACCCAGGGCTTTTTCGTCTCGCGCATGAACACAACCTCTAGACCACTGAGCTAGCTGGCATCCAACGGTTTTCATGTCTAACTTCGACCAAACCATGAAACTGAGCAACCGTCCACACCGCTGGATGCAGACTCAGTGATCTGGAGGTTAGGTGCTCGCGTGTGAGACAGATGTCCTGAGTTCGAATCTTGCGAGATTGGATCATGGACGCTCATTGCTGAATAGTCCCACAATAAGATGAAACGGACGTTCAGTGCTTCCAAGTTTTCCACGATGGTCTAGCTTCAATTGGCTCATGAATTCGACCATAAAATTACTAAGATCTACACAAAACCCCTTCAGAAAATTATCTATCACTAAATTAATAAAATGAAAATACTAGATTATAATCAAACTGTATGATTCAGTTAAATGGTTCCTTTATTTTTCTATGACTATGTACAGTTTGGGCCTGTTTATAATAAACGGTAGTTGGGAAATTATTGAAAAATTAAACGATTGTTTGAATAATATTTTATGCTTCAAAGGTATTCACTTAAACACAGTCGGGATGACGTTAGGTCTGTAACATGATTTCAAAGAGAAAAATCCTTTCATTCAATGACTGAATTTTCTTTTAACGAAAATATTATTCTAAATAAATATACAGATCGGCATTTAACTATTTGGACTTACATCAGAGATCAATTTAACGTATGAAACATGTAAATTATTGGTAGGGTTAGGATGGTTAAAGGTGATAGTGAAGATACTTTGAATCTTAGTTTTGTGTTATTTGATCATTATCGGCAAGGCGTAGTGTGATCTCGAAAGAAACTGAAGATTCTTTCGAAATTCGAACACATCCAAAAATAGAAGAACTAGCCATCTATTTCAGCAGTTGCCAATATTTTGTAGGATATGGAAAATTAAAAATAGATTGTGACCAGCACTAATGACTAAATAAACGTAACATAGATTGTCACCTAATAATCACCTAATCAATGTAGACAAATAATTAAAACATATACACCATAACAACCACTCAACAGTTTAATTCAACATTAGAACTGATCAGAGAAATTTATACAAAGACTAGAATGTCGTTACCTCAAAATAGTAGCTGCAACTACCGTAGTGAATAATAATACCAGTGAGGATACAGAATGACAGAATCTCTCAGTTGAATCTGACAACCAAACCACAAATACTTAATTTCCAAAACATCAATCAACTGTTTTAAACTTGACTGTTTCTTTACAAGTGTCAATCAATCGTCTCAGACATCACTGTTCCTTCATTTCCATACTGATCGCTTTTTGTTTCCGTTCTTTTCTTTTCGATCTTCTCGACCTTCTACTGCCAGATATTCTATTCCTGACTCACGATATATACTACTTATGTCGATATAATTAACATACACTACACTAGTCTTTTAAGTATACTCAAATACACAGTTACATATGGAAAAGTAAATATTGTGTTGTGAAGTTAACTGATTTAAATCCATACATAGGAAATGAATGACAAAATAGATTGAAGATAACATATTGCTTTTTCTCCAAAAAACTTTTATACATAACGCAAATAACTAGAATAAAATTTTAAAAGGTTTTGAGGAATGACCTAGTGATGTACAAAAGTAGAAGCTAATCGATCTATGCTATCTATTATCAGTATGATACAATTATGAAGTTTGGCTAATTGTCATTAATGCTTCATGACAAACATGTAAAGGGATAAAAGAGTAGATTTTAATCAAGCTAATAAGTGAGTATTCATTTTACTGATAAATTTTTTAATTGAAATATTAGTAATTTTTACTATACTACTAAAAATCACAACCAAACGACACAAACCTATTCTTCTATTTCATTTGTAAACTAAGTACTTGAACTGGTCTTTATGTAATCTATAAAATATCATAAGGACCGTCTTGACACTGTAACCAGAATTAGGCCAACGATTTATTAATGTATAAAGAGGCTTCTAAATGGTATTAATGATAGTCTCAAAATTTTTCCATTCTTTAAGGTAAGCTATTACTTTCTGCTCAAAGATAACTTTACCGAACCGACTTTATTCATCTTCACACTAATTTGTGAAAGAGACAACTAATTAAAATATATCGTTTTCATGAAGATGTCAACATCTGGAGGAAAGCATGGGATACAGTAGACAGGTAGGATGCAGCTGGACGATTTAAACTTTGCAGATGATCTGGCTCTTCTATCACAAACGCAACAACAAATGCAGGAGAAAACGACCAGTGTAGCAGCAGCCTCAGCAGCAGTAGGTCTCAATATAAACAAAGGGAAAAGCAAGACTCTCCGATACAACATAATATGCACCAATCAATTTACACTTGATGGAAATGCTTTGGAGGATGTGAAAACCTTTACATATCTGGGCAGCATCATTGATGAACACGGTGGATCAGATGCAGATGTGAGGGCGCGGATCGGCAAAGCAAGAGCAGCATATTTACAACTGAAGAAAATCTGCAACTCAAAACAATTGTCAACCAACACCAAGATCACAATTTTCAATACAAATGTCAAGACAGTTCTATTGTATGGGGCGGAGACGTGGAGAAGTACGAAAGCCATTATCCAGAAGACATAAGTGTTTATTAACAGTTATCTACACATGATACTTCGGATCCGATGGCCAGACACTATCAGCAACAAGTTACTATGAGAGACAACAAACCAAATTCCAGCAGAGGAAGAAATCAAGAAGAAGAGCTGGAAGTGGATAGAACACACATTGAGGAAATCACCAACTGAGTAACAAGACAAGCCCTCACATGGAATCCTAAAAGTCAAAGGAGAAGAGGAATACCGAAAAACACATTACGCCGAGAAATGGAGACAGACATGAGAAGAATGAACAAAAGTTGGATAGAACTAGAAAGGAACGTTCAGGACAGAGTGGGTTGGAAAACGCTGTTAGGCGGCCTATGTTACATTGGGAGTAACAAGCGTAAGTAAGTAAGTTAGTAAGTTTTCTTGCCAAAACCGTTTACTTTTAAAATGACAAATCTGTAAACGAGTTTGAAATTGAACGGATTATGTTCTGTTCTTAACTTTTTTATAAAGGTTGAGGAACAATGTAAGTAAATAATCCATTAATATAGCTTTCAACATTCTATATCATTATATATATATATATATATATATATTGAGTTATCGACAAAAATCTTTTCTTTCCCTTGATAATTCAAAAGGTTAAAGCTACTGACATCGATGAAGGAAGTAATGCACAAATCAAATATCGAATAAGTTCATTAACTAAACCGGAATTTATACGATTATTTACATTGGATCCAATTACTGGTTGGATACATGTACAATGGGAAGTGGACTATGAAATACACAAAAAAGTATGTTAATAATTTAATGAATGACTTAATTTGCAATATAAGGAAAAAGTAAACAAATAATCCCATAATTAACATAACAAACTGATGTTAATTAAACGACTATTGAAAACCTGTTATCACTGATAGGGATGTTTCATCCAATTGTGGAGCTCTTTAGAAGTGTACATTCATGATCACAGAGAAAATCTAAAACGATACTTTTTACCTAACGTCTAGATTACTGAGCCGGAATCCAATAGTTTGCATATTTAGATTATATCAGCCCATAATGTCTTGTAACCATTTTTTTAATGAACTTGGAAAATAAGTCCACTACAATAAGCTCACTGAGACTCACAGGAATCACACACTCTACTGGTCACAATTTCTCATTAGAACTTCAGAATTTAATTGATTTTATCTATGTTCCCAACAGTATTACTATTATTAAACACTTTAATAGGATCATCAGACCACGAAGCTACAGTTATGTTCTACTTAATAAAGCAACACCATGAACCACGAAAGTTGAATATTGTTTTTTTTAAAATTAAAATTAGTTATATTGAATAAGATATCTTTGGTTTTTAACACAAGTATTATTTTCATAGTTGGAAGCATGAGTCAATTGAAGTTAGACCACTCTTGAAAACCTGGAAGTACTGGATGACCGTTTCTTCTTATTGTGCGACCTCGCCCCGCGAGATTCGAACCCAGGGCCTACCAGTATCGCGCCAGAGCACTTAATCGATAGACCACTGAGCCGGCATCCGATGGTGTTAATGTGTAATTTCGTCGTTCAACTATGAAAATACTAAATCTCCACAAAACCGCTTTCGATAACAAGTATTATTCTTGCTTTAATTCTTTAGAAAAATATAAGAACTCTAAGAAGTTGACTTAAATATCTGTTCACTAATCTTTGAACTCTAATCAAACAAAATTCACTACAGATACTATAACACTTTGTTTCATGACTGTACTAGACTGTTGTTACAGTACAGCTTTGGGATTTTTAGAAATGTACATATAATTTTGTGCGAATTTCAAGTTTCTTATTTGGTTGTGAACTAATAATCTATATTCCAAATGTGCCAATTCCTTATCTTGTATTGTCATCATTTAATTGCAATCAGTTTTATGTGCCAGTCTCGACATAGCTCTTTGTCACACGATTTCTTAAAGAGGATTATTAAGTTGCATACGTTATTAAAGACAATATACTGATATTTATAGATGTTTTCATTATTTCATAAATGAATTTAAGATGACTGATAGATAATTTACAAACTGGAAGAAATCAGTAGTTCAAAATATGAAAAAAAATGAATCAACTTTGTGGATCGGTTGAAGTTAGACATTGACACCGTTGGATGCCGGCCAGCTCAGTGGTCTAGTGGTAAAGCGCTGGCGCGCGAGACTGATAAATCCTGGGTTCGAACCTCGTGAGGCGGGATCGTGGATGTGCACTGCTGAGGAGTCTCACAATAGGACGAAACGGCCATCCAGTGTTTCCAGGTAACATGGTGGTTGGAGGTGGTCAACAGGAAACCCTGGACCCGGGTTTCGTGCTACTTGGCACTCGTCAGCAAGGTGTACCTGTAATCTTGAGGGAACTGATGCTCCCTGGCGGATTCGATCCCGCGTCACTCAGCTTCACAGTCAGAGACGTTACCACTGAGCTATTCGGGCCGCGACCGACCTCCTGTAGGACTGAGATCTAATCACAATTGATTGATCACTGGGTGGTGATCAATCTCATGCGTGTCAGGTCCTTAGTGCTGATCGAATGCTATCGATCAAGTTGCAATGTGGCCACCAGTCTAGGTGGCTCGACACTGTGGGCACTATATATATTAGGGTAACATGGTGGTTGGAGGTGGTCAACAGGAAACCCTGGACCCGGGTTTTGTGCTACTTGGCACTCGTCAGTGTTTCCAGGTTTTCCATGATGGTTTAGCTTCAATTGACTAATGATTTCAACTATAAAATTACTGAAATCTCCACAAAAGCCCCTTTTGATAAAAATGAATCCGTTTATTATCAAACAAACTTAAACTAGGATGAATCATCACTGAAATGCATACCGAAACAAAAATCTTAATGATCATTCGATTTACGATAACTTATAACCTTAGAGATATTTTGACATTGGATATTATTGGACATATTACTGTTTATTATTGATAAATTATAATGATAAACTGTAATCAATTAATAAACACATAGCTCATTTCATGCAATTAGTTCCCTTTATGAATTTAAATAAAGTTAGAACGAACATGAATGCAGAATAATCTGAATTCATTATATTCTGTGGTATCTCAGCAGCTGCTTACAATCAAATATGTATTAAAATTTTACATTGAGGTAAGATATAATGTGAAATAATTGAGATAAGTGAATGTAAAGAATTGGAATAACAAAGGTTATCAATAATAAGTATAAATATATGTGAAAGAACAGGTCGGAGGTTATTTGGTGTTGCGATCAAAAAACACTGAGGGGTGGGTGGTGTAATAATTGAGTGAAGTCCAGAAACAAATAATATTAATTGTGTGATAATTATAGAGGTAATGAAGGGCTTGCACAAGATTCTTGGAATTAAAAAACTGATAAGATCGGTTACGCAATGATTAAACAAGATTTGATAAATTCAATATAATTTAACAGAATTGAGTGATTGGAAATGTATGAGTGAAGGGGGGGGGTGTGGTTTAAATGTACATAAAATAAGAATTCGGCAATGAAAGAGAAATATAGAAAACCAAATATTAACAAAATAAAACTAGTGACCAAAAAAATTGAATTACCAGGGTAGTAATAGGTTTATTTCTGTATCTTTTTGAATATCTAGATCAGGTTCGAGGTTTTATAGCAATCGCTTCAGCAAACCGAAGAGACTAAGTTTTTTTTTCTCTTCTGATAATTTTAAAAGCTCAAGGAATATCGATGGTAATCTCGGTGTCAAATAAATCCCGAGCTACTGATCTGTTAACAGCCCTTGCCTCTCACAGTCTCTCCTTATCTATTTAATTAACATTAGACAACTAGTTAGCATTATTTTAAGAATCTATCTAATATCACGTTGATTCATTTTAAAGGTTCTCTGTAATGTCTAACAAACAATTTGTTGTACTTAAAAAAAAAACAATGAGTAACCAACGATGACGTAGGTTAATTTCCTTTTCCTTTTTCCCCTCCATCTTATATTAATTTACATTGGTAATCAAAGATTATTTTGTACATTCTGTTCTACACTAATTCTGGTTTCCTTTTTTGTCTCATTCTATAAACCTACAAGATAGATTGTTTAAGTTTAATTAACCGCTTTTAAACTAATTATACATAGATTAGTTATAGTTAGTTCATTATTTTAAAAAAAAATTAAGCCTGTAGAGTCAATCTAATAGATTATCTTTTTATCAAGACTGATTAAGTTTAGTCGTCATATATTATCAGTAATGTAAAAACATCAATGATTAGTTGTTGTCTTCTTTTCTTGAACTTGGTCATTGTCACTGGAATAAGGTAGTTGATATGATTCAATGACGTATGATTTCATATAATTAGATGAATGGTATTTTAGTTTTTACTTTGAATATTTTCATTTTATTAAACATAGAATGTATCTAAGTGTATAGATAGGTAGACTTTCATTTGAAACAAATAAATAAAAGGAAACTTTAAAGTTATGTTATTGTCAAAGAAATACTGTGGACTAGTTAAGGATTTCTTGATATTGTACATTTGAAATTCTTTTCACATCATGATATTAATACAACATTCGTCTAGTTACTGATTTTATATTTAATGTTTCTATGAGTATTAAGGTTATTCAATTCATAACAAGTCACCTAGTAGCAAAAGAACTTTCAGTTAGAGATACAACAATAATTCCGTGAAATAATTGATTTTTACTTCATATGGTGTTTCTTTACATATCTCAATGAAACAAGAGTTACATCAGTGTCATAAAACTATGAATAAATATATTGAGTAAGGTTTATTTTAATTATCAAAAGGGGTTTTGTGGAGATTTAGTATGAGTCAATTGAAGCTAGACAACCATGGAAAACCTGGAAACACTGGACGGCCTTTTCGTCCTATTATGGGACTCCTCAGCAGTGCGCATCCACGAATCCGCACTGAAGACAATTGGTGAATGGTTGCTCAACTTCGTGGATCAGTTGAAGTTAGACATTAACACCGTTGGATGCCAGCTCAGTGGTCTATCGGTTAAGGGCTTCAGCTTGAGACTGGTAGGTCCTGGGTTCGAGTCTCGATCGCGAGAGCGGGTTCGTGGATGCGCACTGCTGAAGAGTCCCATAATAAGGTTTATTTGCCAGCTTAGATTCTGATTAGTTTATTTGAAAACTAGAGAATACAAAACGTTTTTTTAATATTTGAAGGTAATTATCATTTGTTCAACAAGATGTCAGGTATATTTAGATTGTTTGGCCTAAATATAAGTGAAGAAATCGGTGACAAACATTAAATGAAAAAAATTCTATATATTGAATAGCATCATTTTTCGTTTATCACTCGATGATGCTTAAAACACAAAGTAAACCTAAATAATCAGTAAATGGATGAAATTGAACTCATAAGCAAAGATGGATGGTGGTTAGTGATGGAATCCAGGACGCGCGTTTCGTCCCATCTGGGACTTGTCATCTGGATGTACTTGCAAACTACAGTTGATGTTCAGTCTGGGATTTGAATTCAGTACCGTTCACTTCAATTGCCATCTATTAATTCAGTTAGCTTCTAGATCCAGATAGACGCTAGCTTGTGCAATGAGGTTAAGTGTAAATTCATTTTGTATAAATTGCTTGTATCTTCTGATCTGTAGGGCTCCTATGCGGATTAGTAGCCACAATTTTTAAATTAAGGCTATCCGTGCAGTATGCACATATACCAATAAGAGATTGATCAATTGCAGTCCTAAACATCACTAGGAAGATATTAACAAACCATACAAATTGAAATTAAATTTCATCCCTAGTTTCGGATCTGTC